GCTGTAGACAGACACCTGCAGGGAGGCTGTAGACAGACACCTGCAGGCCTCCGCAGATGGTGGGAGTCTCTGGCACCTGTGCTCCGCTCAGGAGAAGCCCAGGTAGCACGGCAAGGACAGACCAGAGCCTATGTCCCCAAGAGCCACCTGTGACGGCCAGGCCTCATCATACTATGCTGGACGTACAGCTGAGGGGGCCTTGGGATGGGATTCCCGGACTCACCTGTGCTGGGGTCACAGGTGCCATGCTGGTTGCAGGTACAGGGGATGCAGCTGGTGTAGGGACCCCCACGAGGTATCTCTCTTTTGTATCCCAGGGCACAGAGTTCACAGAACTGGCCTGTGTATCCCTGGGGACATGAGCACGTCTCCACCCAAGAGGCTGGTGGGGCAAGCCCTTGTTGGGCTCGGGCCGAGGTGAGCTGGACTTCACACAGGACCACTGCTCCTGTAGAATGGGAAGAGAAGGGGAGACCTCCATGCACGTCTCCCTGGCACCTGTGAGACAGGCCCACGCATACAAAGGTGGCCTGTGAGTCAGCTGTTATTTTCCTTTGTTTTTTGAGACACGGTCTTGCTGTGTAGCTGTCTTCAGACTGCTGTCCTCTTGCCTGACCCTCTAAAGTGCTTGGATTGCAGGCATGGCTACTATGCCAGGTTTTAAGTGTAGCTTTAAAAACGACAGCCAAGGGCTGGAGAGATGGCTCAGTGGTTAAGAGCACTGGCTGCTCTTCCAGAGGTCCTGAGTTCAATTCCCAGCAACCACATGGTGGCTCACAACCATCTGTAATGAGATCTGGTGCCCTTTTCTGGCGTGCGGCCATCCATGGAGGCAGAATGTTGTATACATAATAAAGAAATAAATAAATCTTTAAAAATAAATAAAAACGACAGGCAAAAGAATCAAGTGAAGCAAAGAAAGCAGGTGAGTTTAGACCCAGCGCCAGATGATGGCCGCGTGGACCAGCTCAGTGCTAGAATGTGCAAGGCTAGCACTGCAAGATCTTGATTAATCCAGGTAGGTGGGGCAGATGTGCATGCCTGGGGCCAGCAAGATGGTTCAACAGGTTAATAACCCAAGTTACTAAACCTGAGGACACATGTTCAATTTGCAGGATCCCACAGCTGTCCTCTTCCCCTCACACGTGTGGCACACACATGGATGTGTGCCCATAGATATACATATATACAAGTAAATAAAAAAATTTGTCAGGCATGGTGGTAAATTTAATCCTCTGAGTTTCAAAGCTAGCCTGATCTATAAAACAAGTTCCAGACCAGACAGGGCTCCATAGTGAGATTCCTGCAATCCCGGCACTTGGGAACCAGAGGTAGGAAGATGAAGAGGTCAAGACCAGTGAGACCCTGTCTTAAAAGCAGTTGGGTGAGCTTAGTCTCCATATTAGCCTATGGTGTGGTCGAGATGCAATGCCATTATTTCTCAGCAGGGGGGGACAGTGCCCACAAAAAGATACTATGGCGGGATGGGGCGGCGCTGGGCGCTGGATTTTGTCAGGGACCGTATACCTGTTCCTTCTAGTAATTCTCCCCTAGGCCTCCCGGTTCCCCACAGCCCAGCACTGCCTCTATCCTCAGACGCACTTCTGCCTGTGTAAGTGTCCTGATTTCTCAGTCTCAGAGTTCTTAGAGTGAGAACCTCCACAAGCAATGCAGGGCCAGGACCCGAGTTTTCAGGGGTGAATTGCCATCATACTGACCAGAATGGCCCAGGCCTTGGCCCCTGATCCAGATGCCCAGGGCAGTCAGATTGGCAAGCAGCCGCTGGAAGTGGAAGGCAGGCAGAGGGATGTCTGCCTCCTCAGAGGTCTCCTGCAGGCTGGAAGGGGCAGGAAGTCAGTGGGACAGCCTGATGTAGGGACAGTTGGTGCCAAGAGCCTGGGGGATCCTCAGGAGCCTCCGGAGTGCCTAGCCCTCGGAGATCACCCTGCCTACCCACCCCACTCCCATCTCTCAGGACAGGGAGGTACTTACAGGAACCAGAGCTGAACCTGTCCTGGCTGCCTGGAGTCCTGAGGCCTGGGTGGACCAGAGGGCCCCAGAGCCAGAGCCAAGCCTGCCCCCTCCAGTCTCAGGTGCACAGCGGGTGGGGAGCCCCCTGGCGGTACATGGAGGGTCAGTATGACTGGCTGTCCGTAGCTGAGTCTCTGGTCTCCCAGGAACTTCTCTAAAGGCAAGAAGGAAAGGCTTTGATAACACCACATGCTTGATTGTAACATCTGTATTGACCACAACAATAACCATCCAAACAGTGTGTGCCATGGTGAGTGGAAAATCCGAGGTCAACACTTGGAGACAGCGCAGACACAAAAGTGAGAGGACCAGTTTGGATTCCTAGAACCCATGTAAATGCAACACGAACATGGTGGCTCACTGTAATTCCAGCCTTAGAGAGTGGAGCTAGGACATCTCCAGAGTAAAGCTGGCTGGCCTGAGACTAGTCATATCAGCAAGCTCTGGGCTTGATTGAGACACCTGCCTCAGAGAACAAGGTGGAAGAAGGGTGGAGGATGGTGCCTGACATCAACTTCTGGCCTCCTCATGCACTTGCACCCGTACACATAACTGTGCCCACTCACATGCATCATACACGCATGCACGCACACACACACACACACACAGACACACACACAGACACACTCGGTATTTCGGTGAGTTCACATATGGTGTTGTCTGATTGAAGATTCATAGTACCCAAAGGTGTCCCCAACTCTAAACCCTGAGAGATGGTTTGCACAGAGGGAATTTGGCCAGGCAAAAAGGATTAAGGCTGTGAATGGAGTTGGGGGGTGTTACTCCTCTGGCCGTGGAATAGTGGAGGTCTGTAGGATTATTGCCTGGAGGGCGGTTGGCTGTGAATGTAAGCAAGTGCTGCAAGGGAGACGTGGTCTCTGCTCTGGGGCGGTCTGAAGGAACACAGCCTGTGATACCGACAGACTAAATGTGTGTGTTCTCAGCCATGGAGTCCACGGTCACTTGGCAACCCCTGTTGTAGCAGGTACCCCTAAACACGCACTGAAATTGAACCCCTCTCGTAAACTGTTTAGAAGTGAAAATCTAGTGGGGCCGCACTGTCGGGAGCGTGGTCTCTGGGAGACGGCTAGGAGGAGGCGAAGTGGCTGGGGTGGGTCCCCATGGTTGAATCTTGGTAGGGGACTTCATAGGAACAGGAACATGGTGCCTTGTGCCGCCTCAGGAGTCTGTCTACAGGAAGGCTACTACAAGACGTACAGGAGCTGAAGCTAACCCGTCTTTTAGACCTCATCCTCTCTAAGGTACTATACTATTAGCAGCTGACAGGAACTTGGGTGGTGAGATCAGTAGGGACTACTACCTACCTGGTGCTGAGAGTCCCTCCTCTCCTTGCAGGCTCAGGAGGATCCCATTCCGGCTCCACTGCAGAGGACGCTCTGATGACCCTGTGCTTCTGGCCTGCCAACCGTCAGCTCCTAAACATCAAAGACAGACTATTTACCCCAGCCGTGAGACCCCAAAGACTGGTCTCCAGTGACAAGTCCCGCAGGGTTCTAAAGTGGGAGAGAGTTTGAAGCCAGTCCGGGTTAGATGAGACCCTGACTCAGAGAGGAACGGTGGGGGAAGACGGCTCTCTGAAGACTAGGCCAGGCCGGAGGTAGGACAGAGGTTCCACATCCTGGAAGAACTTAGCACAAGCTCAGCAAGAACTCTGCCAACTCAACCACATCCTAAATCCTCTCATGCTATCTTAGGGTTCTGAAGACAAGCCCTATGAGTCTATAGAGACTATGCACTATGCTAGATTCTGGCTAGCCACTGCCTCGAGCTGTCCTGCTTTCTGTGTGGTGTCCAGCAGAGGGCGCACTGCCCCTGTTTCTGGAGGCTCAAGGACCAGTCCCCAGACTATACTCCGAGGAGTCGGGGAATGGTCCAAGGAGCATGGCTGGGCACACACCAGCTCTGATGGATTGCAGGGCTTGGAGTTCCACCCCCCTTGGTCCAAACACACAACCATGGCTGTCAGAACTAATCTCAGGCAGGCCCGGATCTAGTCTGTAGCATGGGAACGAGAGCACCTGCCTACAGCAATGCTGAGGTTCCCTGGACCGTGGAGCTCAGCAGTGCCTGGCACACAGCAGGTGCTTAATACATGGAGGCCAAGACTCTAAGCTGGATCTCAGGTATGCTAAGGGAGACTAACTTTTCTGGGAGTGAATGGAGGCTGACCACAGGACTCAGGGTGCCTGCAGACACACCCCGTCTTCCAGTACCACCCTGAGGATACTGGAAGCCCTGGAGGCTGGAAAAGCGGAGGTTGTGGAAGGAGCTGAGGGGTAGCAGGCAGGTCCTGGAAGACACCCTTTCACACTCTACCAGCCTAGGCTCTGTGGCCTAGGCATCTCTCCAAAGGATCCTTGGTGGAAGGGCTGTCCCCATCCTAGCTCCAAAGGGAGATCCCCAGCCAGGGGAGGACACCTCCACTCCACCCCAAGGCAGCTCCTGTGCACTGCTCACCGTGGCGGAAGTCTGAGAGGATGTGGTGTGCCTGGAAACCAGCAGCAGGGGCACACACCTTGGAGTGGCCATAGCAGAAGCAGCTGCTGCAGCCTGCCGGGTTGTGGGGCTGCAGGTTAAACGTTCCAGGGCGGCATCTGTAAGAGAGGCGGGGTCACATCTCTGAGTCAGGTTGGGATAGGACTGGGATCCAGCTAGACTGTTTGGAATCCTGGGGAAATTTAAGAAAACGTTTCAATTTTTATTATTCTTTTAGAATCACGAGAATTACAAAGACAGGGCAGACAGTCCCGTGCCTGCAGGATCAGTGTCTCTGCTGCTGATACACAGCCTCGAAGCCCAGAGATCACCATCACCTGACGTTAACTCCAGGCTGCGTCAGGGCTTCTTTTCTTTCTCACTAACGCTCCGCTGCTCCGGGACCTGACAGACACTGCATTTAGCCCTGCCCTTGTCGCCTCTGATTTGCTAACATCTCCTCTTCCTCTCCTGTGATCTTGACACTTTCGTTTCTGTGGGGTGTTTGTTTGTTTCTTGAGATAGGGTCTCACTATGCAGCCCTGCTTGGCCTGGAACCTGCTATGTAGACCAAGCTGGCCTTGAACTCACAGAGATCCTCTTGCCTCTGACTCCTGAGGGCTGGCACTAAAGGTGCCAACAGATTTTGGGTTTTGTTGTTGTTGTTGTTGTTGTTTGTTTGTTTTGTTTTTTAAAAGAAATTTTAACCAGGCGGTGGTGGCGCACACCTTTAATCATAGCACTTAGGAGGCAGAGGCAGGCAGATCTCTGTGAGTTTGAGGCCAGCCTGGTCTACAAGAGCTAGTTCCAGGACAGGCTCCAAAGCTACAGAGAAACCCTATCTTGAAAACAAACAAAAATTCTAATTGAAACTGTCCTATGAGTGTCTTGTTTGCAGGCATATCCGTGTACTGTGTCTATGTGCGTGTTTGCTGCCTGTGGCGCACAGAAGAGGGTGTTGAATCCTCTGGAACTGATGTTTCAGATGGCTGAGAGCCACCGCATAGATGCTCTGAGAAAGCAGCCAGTGTTCTTAACTGTGGAGCCGGCCCTCCAGCCCCCTTGGGTTTTGAAATAGGCTCTTATTTTATACTCTGCTCTGGCCTTGTGCTCTTGACGGTCCTCCTGTCTCAGCCTCCCAGGTGACGGTGGCCGTGATTCCGTCATCATCTCCCGCTACCGTCTGCCCACCAGGTTTCTTGTCTAAACAGTTGCTGCAGTTTAGTCGTTAGAAGTGGGGTGCTGGCCCGGCATGGTGGTGCACACCAGTAACCCCAGCACTCAGGAGGTGAAGGCAGGGAGGACCAGGGAGGGGTCCAAGGCCATTTTCAGCTGTGTAGCAAGTTCAAGGCCAGCCTGGCCTCCTGAGACACTGCCTCAAAAAACAAAAAAATTGAGGGCCGAGAGCAGCACAATTAATCCCAGCACCCAGGAGGCAGGCAGAGGCAGGTAGATCTCCAATAGTGTGGGGCCAGCCTGGGCTGCACAGTGAGAACCTGTCACAAAAACAAAACACAAAACCCCACCAAAAAAAAAAAAGCAAAAAAACCAAAAAAACCCCAAAACATCAAAGAACTCGCTTGCAAGCGGCTCGAAGCCACCATTGTAATTAGTAACTATTTCCAGAGCTGAATCTCGAGGCTATGCAAATGCCTGTTCCCATTAACGCCAGCATTCATTGCTGCGGTTGGCAGGGCAGTCACTGGGGTGTGCCACTTCCAGCCTGAGTTCCCACTCCACCATCTCCGTCATTTACAATTCTGAAGGAAGATTTGCCCACTGTCATCTGTTTACTTAGCCAATCGTGTCCTGGCATTAGAGATATCTGCCCCATTCTTAGGCTTATCATGCAATCGCATCTTTATTAATTTTGTTATTCAAATAGTTCCTGCTCTGAGAGTTCAGGATGACTCTTGTCTTAGCTCAGTTGGTAGGGGCTTCTTGGAGCAAGGCATTGAGAAGGATCTAAGCTTAAGATTGTTGCGTTCCAGTAATAATGTCTGCATTGGTGTGAGATGGGAGGGCTGTGACAGCTCTCCATTAGTGATGTCTGCTGCTGGTGTGAGATGGGAGAGCTGTCACAGCTGTGACATCTACCATGAATGTGAGGCAAAAGAGCTGAAACATGACACCAGGTATTTGCTGTCTGGATCAGACACGCTCTTCCTATCAGCTAAGAAACCCTCAGTGGCACTGGATCAGAGTATCAGCAGTGCCCATGGGGCCTTTGGCTATCTTTCTGGGTAGAAGGCCCTTGGGGTTTCAGAAAGAACCTGGGGTGACAGGTTTGTCCAAGTCTCTGAGGGCCCTCCCCTGCCTTTCCCCTTACTACACAGCTTGGGTGCCTCCCCAGAGACCCCACAATCACTTCTGGTAGCTCTTTGTAGATCGCACCCCACCTGTCACACAGGCTGCCTTCGACATTCTCTTTGCAGGGGCAGCTCCCACTGTGGGGGTCACAGGTGCCCAAGCTTCCAGCAGCATTGCAGGTACAGGGTCTGCCAAAGAAACAGAGAACACACACTCTATTGAGCGACTCCATAGTGGACTGTCCGTCCTCAGAACTTTCCATGCCCTTCCCTGCTCTGGAGGAAACATGGATAGGCCTGTCCAAGAGACTGTGCTTGGTGTCATCCTTACTTCTTTATCAGGAAGTGTCTCATTTACCCATGCAATGATGCCCCGCCCACTACCCACCCCTCCCACTGGTGCATCCACCCACCCGTCCACCCATCCATCCACCCATCCGTTCATCCATCTGTCCACCCATCCACCCTCCATTCACCCATATATCCATCCATCCATCCACCCATCCATCCACCCATTCATCTGTCCACCCATCCATCCACCCATCCGTTCATCCATCTGTCCACCCATCCACCCTCCATTCACCCATATATCCATCCATCCATCCATCCATCCACCCATTCATCCACCCATTCATCCGTCCACCCATCCATCCATCCACCCTCCATCCACCCATATATCTATCCATCCATCCATCCATCCATCTATCCATCTGTCCGTCCACCCATCCACCCTCCATCCACCCATATATCCATCCATCCATCCATTCATCCATCCATCCACCCATCCGTCCACCCATTCATCTACCCATCCATCTACCCGTCTATCTGTCTGCCTGCCCGCCCGCCCGCCTGTCTGTTCGTCCGTCTGTCCATCCACCCATCCATCCATCCATCCATCCATCCATCCATCCATCCATCCATCCATCCGTCCATCCATCCATGTTATCACTTACCATCTGCCCGCTGTCTACCTATCTATTCACCCTCCACTGGTTCATCCATCCATCCACCCATCACCCATGCTCTTGGCATCCACCTACTTGCCCCTCCATTGGTGCGTTCATCCATCCGCCTGTTTACTCATCTTTCGATCCCTTAGCTTCCCACCCATCATTCTCTCCTGCATCTGCCTACCCACCTCCACCGTCCAACCATCCTTCTGCTCATCGTCTCCTCACCTCCATTCACCCACCCATCCTTTTACTCTCTCACCCACCCACCCACACATCGTCTGCTTAAGGTTCCCGTTCTCGCAGACCCCAGGATCCAGTGAGAACAGACCAACAGGTGGCCCCTGCCCTGCACTGTGTGCTGGGAAGGAGATGGACTAGGGAGGTGCGTCTGGTCCAGCCTTGCAGAGTGGGAGGGAGCAGGGTGGGGAACAGTAGGTGCCTTAGCAGAGGACTGGAAAGTGGCTAGCGGTGGACGGGTGACACAGGCCAAGGAGGCGGGGTTGGAAAAAGGAAATGCTCTGGGGGAGGGGACTAATATGGGCAAAGGCCCCAAGACCAAGACCTGGGAAGCAGCCAGGGTCAGTCAGTTCCAGAATTTTTGTTTGTGCTAGGGATGGATGGAATCCAGAGCCTTCTGCATACTGGGCAGGCACTTACTCCACCATTGAGACCTGGTCCTGGCTTCAATCCGTTCAGCATGTCTACCCAACACACTTCTCCTGTCTTTTTTTTTTTAATATTTATTTATTGTATATACAGTGTTCTGCCTGCATATATGCCTGCAGGCCAGAAGAGGGCACCAGATCTTATTACAGATGGTTGTGAGCCACCATGTGGTTGCTAGGAACTGAACTCAGGACCTCTGGAAGAGCAGCCAGCACTCTTAACCACTGAGCCATCTCTCCAGCTCTTCTCCTGTCTCTCAAATGTATGGAGACAGTGTTGTTTGTTATTCACTAGAGCCAAGTTTTTTTTTCATTTATTTTTTTTTCTTTCCTGTGTGTGTACATGTGTGCATGGAAGTGTGTGCATGTATGTATGGAGGTCGTAGGTTGAAGTTAGGTTTCTTGCGTTCCACCTTATTTTTTTGAGACAGGGTCTCTCACTGAACCTGGAGCTCACCAGTTTGGCAAGAATGGTTGGCTGGCAACCTCCTGCAATCCGCTTGCCTTTGCCAGCCTTCTAGCCTTCAACAGATGTGCACTGTTACACCTGGCTTTTGTGGGTTTTCCTGGGGACTGGGATTGAATTCACATCCTCATGCATGCGCAGCAGCACCTTACCGACTGAGCCATCTCCTCAGTCCTGGCTGAGGAGCGCTTCAAGGAGACAGTAGAGTACTTGTCTAGAATGCATGGAACCCTGAGTCCATTCCCTAGCACCACACAAAGCAGTCCGTTTCTAACATTGCTGGCTGTAGTGGTTTCAAGGCCAGCCTATGCTCTGTAAGGGGACACCCACAAAGTCCTTCTGAGTCTGCAGTATTGCTCACTGTGGGTTCCACCGTGAGCTACCAGTAAATGCATCTGGCCCCTCTTCTAAGATCCAGCCTGTGGCAGATTGCTGGTCCCTCGCTGGTCTCTCTCCTTATGGCCAGGCACCACACACTCTAAATATGTATATAATGCCTGGCTTCCTGCCCAACTTCCACCTGGCCCTCTGCCACAGGGACCAGTCTCCATCCCTCCCTCCTCCTCAGTCTCTGTCACTACAGACTTGGACTCTGGAAACTGCCTGTTTCCTCCCCCTCCTCTGAGCCAGTCCTACTCCTGCCGAAGCCTCCGGAATCCCTCTGGCACAGCCACCTGCCTTGGCTCCCTGCTCACAACAGCCATCAGCCCCTCAAGGACCCCTCTTCTTCCAGACCTGAGCCCCACCTGACGCTTGTCTCAGCCTTGGCTGTACTCCCCACTTGGAGTGTCCCCCACTCACCAGGCCTCACTCTCAGGTTCAACCTGGGACTCTCTCTCTCCCGGTACTGGGTCTCCCAGGTCACGCCGCCCACCCCCATCCCATCCCCACCCACACTGCGCAGGTTAGTTCTTCCCATGTCTTTAGCTCTAGTTCTTGTAAGTCTGGGGTCTGGTAGCTATGGATGAGAACATGTGGGGCGAAGATGTAGAGTGGGGACAGCTAGCATTCTTCCCTTCTGTGTCTGATTTAACACAAACACACAGCATGGTCAACACAGGCCACCCATGCCCACATCCTCACCTGCAGCCGCCCTCGCTGAGGGAGTGGAACCCGGGCCGGCAACGGTCACACTTCCAACCTGTCACTGTGGGCTTGCAGGTGCAGGTGCCCGAGTTGTCACACTGGAGACCCAGGGAGCCTGGGGAGGAGGGACACAGGGCAGTGGAGGCAGGAGGAGCTGAGCATGGGAGATGGGGAAAGGGGATGCTGGGCCGCTCACCTGCTGGGTGGCAGTCACAGGGCTGGCACGGTGTCCTCGGGGCCCATCTGTAATAGTTCCTCTCGCAGTGCTCACAGTGTGGCCCGGCTGTGTGGTCACGGCAGTGATGGCAGTGCCCACCGTGGCCGGTGCTCCGGAAGAGCTCCCTGTCAAACGTGCACTCCGAGGAGTGCCCACTGCAGTTGCAGGCTGTGAGAGATGGAGGGTCGTGTGCATGAATGACAGGCTCCGCCGGGCGAGGGGCTCTGCTCTCTGGAGCAGGCATCTCAGAGACGGGTGTGCTTGGTTAATCTTGTCAACCTGACAAGACCAAGAATCACAGAGGCCACAAACCTCTCAGTGGTTTCAACATTAGGCTGAGATGGTAGGACCCAACCTAAATATAGGTGGCACCATCCCCTGGGCTGGGGTCCTGGAACGAAAAAGGAGCTTGGGAGCAAGCTGATCACCAACACTGACCAGTCTCTGCTTCCTGGCTGCACAAGTGAGGTGACCAGTGCCTCACAATCCTGCCACCATCACGAGGGGGTGACCAGTGCCTCACAATCCTGCCACCATCACGAGGGGATGGCACCTTCAGTCTGTAGCCTAAACAAGCCTTTCCTTTGTGTCAGGCATTTTGTCAAAGCAACGGGAAGTGATTAACACCAAGGGCCAGAGTCTAGGATCGCCTGCAGGCTCAGCGTGACCAAGTCCACTGAGCCCAGGCATCTGATATTCCCAGATAGGATGCTCTGTAAGAACTAGGTGGTCCCTATAACAAATATTCCAAAATCATGTCTTCCTGGAGGGAGTCAGAAATGTGTTGGGATATGGGAGATGATGGAGCAGGAAGCCCATGCTGGCCAGGAGGAGAAGGTCTGGACCAGAGAAGCATTGTCTGCTTGGGGTGTGTGTGTGTGTGTGTGTGTGTGTGTGTGTGTGTGCCAAGAAGCTGGGTGTGGACAGCAGGCCATGTGATGGGCAGCGGATGGGCATACCGCGAGGTGACTGGCATGTGGCGAGGTGGCCAGGAAACAGAGGTGCCAGGAGGCTGGAAGCCCAGATATTCAGGGAGGGGACGGGGTGTAATGAGGGGAGGGCACTCTCTGAAGGCCTTTCTCTGTAGGTGGAGGAGGCTGGAGGCCAGAGACAGTCATGAGAAGAGTGACATGCCCAGAGACAGTGGAATGGATTCGGGAGACGTGAGAGAAAAATAATTTGGGGCTCAGAGGTTGCCTGGGCTAGGAGTCAGAGGTGATGGGTCAAGCATGAAAATCCAGACTGGTGACTATGAGAACAGAAATTAGACATGGCAGGTGGGCTGTCTGGCATGTAACACCCCCACCATAGGAACAGGCATGGGCTTGGCCCAAGCAGAGAGCCAGCAGTGCAGCTTCCCTGGGGGAGGCAGGCCAGCAAGCCAAGAGGAACTTAGCACTGCATTTTCCCCCTGGGGCAGCTACTGCAGATAGGAAAAAGCTGTCTGTCCCGAGGACAGAGCTGATTTCTTCCCATGGTCCCCAGGCAGACCGCGGCCCAGGCCCAGGAGGCTATGTGTGAACTTCTGTGTCTGGCTCCAGGCACTGCATGCGTGAAGCCCGAGGCAGAACAGAGGACTGTGAGGAGAGACGAGGCCAGACAAGGGAAAGTGGGATGCAGCGGTACACACACCCCTGTGGGAAGGCTCCTCCCTTCCCACCGTCCATATAGAAGGTTCCAGGGCCCCTTCCTCCCTTTACCAGTGTCTCTTTGAGGTTAGGCAGGCAGAGCCACATCACACACAGCTGGAACATCAAAGGACTTCTGGGGACTGTGGGGGACTGTGGGAAAGGCTGGGGTAGGCGGGTCAGAGCCCTGTGGGTGGGGGTGGCAGGACTGGATTTCATTAGCTGCCAGGGTTGGAACAGTTAAAACAAAGGGTTAAGTCTGGTTTGGGGGACCTTCCTGCCCTCCGACCACAGGCGCCTCCCTGGGTGGACTTGTCCTGGAGGAACGGCTTGTGAGGGAGGACTGATGCTCCCCTCAGCCTCTCTTAACTCTCCTTCAGAGCTGAGGACTCCACACCGCATGCCAGGCCCACCCAGGAGCAGGCCCCGCTGTGAGGTTTGGGGATTGTTTCCCAGCAAGCATCACTAGCCCGCTGCCCGAGGGACACTCACGTAGACACTCATTGGCGTCTTCTGCGGTGCCACGGGCCCACGGACGGTCCTGGAAGAAGGGCAGACAACGCTCGCAGTCCACACCCGTGGTGTTGTGCTGGCAGCGGCACGCCAGCTGACCAGCCTCGTTGGGGCCGCACTCACTGGCGTGACCATTACATTTGCACCTGAGGAAAGCACCAGGAGGGGGGACCTAGAGACAGTTGCCACAGACATTGGGAGGAGCAAGGGTGTCACTGTCAGGCACCCCTTGATTGCAGCACAAGTGTGGGGATCCCTGAGCCCTGACTACATGCCTAGGGATTATTATAAATAGAGCACTGGGGGGGGGGTGTTTCCCAAATGCTCCATGGAGTGAACCCTGCTGCCCAGTTTGCTTCCTGCTGCTGTGATAAACATCACAGTCAAAAGCAGCTTGGGGAGGAGAGGGTTTATTTCACCTTACACATCCCCATCACAGCCCATCATGAAGGGAAGTCAGTGCAGGAACCTGGGGGCAGGAACTGAAGGAAGGCCATGAAGGAGGGCTGCTTACAGACTTGCTCCCCATGACTTGCCCAGCCTGCTTTCTCATACTGCCCAGGACCACCTGCTCAGGGGTGGCGCCACTCAGAGTGTGCTGGATCCCCCACATCAACCATTAATCAAGAAAATGTCTCAGAGACTTCTCTACAGGACAGTCTGAGGGAGCTGTTTTCTCAGTTGAAGTTCCCTCTTCCCAAATGACTCCAGTCTGTGTTGTGTTGATAAACTACTAACTAACTAGCAAGCACATCTGTCGTCACCAACCTCCTGCTGTCCCCTTTGAGCAGTCTGGGAAACTGAGGCCTGGAAGGCTGTCCATCCGTGGCTGCCAACTAGTAGGTGGCTGCCACAGAACGTCTCTGCCTGAGTGGAGTCCCAGCTCAGGGGGTCTTGGGACCCAGGGAGAAGCCAATTCAGTCCCCTGGTGGGGGTGGACAAGTGGTCACAGGGTCAGTTCTTAGGGACTAAGGTTATGACAGGTAATTCTGCAATTGTGTCTAAAAGGGTAAGAAAGAGGTGCCCTGTGCGGGCGTCAGCTCTCAAGAAGTTCCCAGAGTCTGAGCTGTGGTAGGCAGCCCTGGGTCTATGTTCTCATGTCACCTACGAGGTCAAGAGATGGGTGAGTTCAGCAAGAACCAAGAACGGCTTTTGGGGGTGGGCAATGTGGAGAAATGGGTGGAGAGTGACCCTCTGTGGCCAACATCCTTGGTGGCTCAGGGCCCACCATGGCCTGCTCCTGGCTTGCATTGAGATGGTCCCAGACAGAGCAAACAGTTCCAGACTATGCATGAGTCTTTGGAGGTAGGAAGGACTCTGTACCCCAGCTTCCCAGATGGTGAAGCAGGCTCGGGACACAACAGTGGAAGACCCAAGGGGCAAAGCTATAAGCCAGAGCCCATCCTGGTTCCCCAAAGACAAGTCCCACCTTCCCTCTGTCCTCAGAGGGCAGTAATAGATGACTGGTCACTTCCAGGCTCCCCACTGTGCCTTCTCTAATTTGGGGACACGGGAGTATGGTACTGTTTGCTCAGGGGCAGGGCACAGGGTGTGCAGCAACATCCCACTGTGACCAGGAGGTTTGGGTCTAATACCAATCGGTTTTAGAAGGTGGAAGTCATGAGAACTCGCAAGTGACATCTCTATCCCTGAGAGGGAGCTGACCCAAGGGAAGGAGCTGTTCCTTCCTGAAGGCAGCCGTCACAGACAGCTGTGGAGCCAAGGGTGGTCTGGGTCCCACAGCTGGGTTCCAGATGTGTTCTGGCTTGCAGAACAGCAGGCATAGCAGATGGAGGGTCATGGCCACCGTCTTTGGCGTCTTGCTGGGAGGCTTGACCCAACTCGCACGGCAGAGAATTCATCTGAAGTTCCTCACCAGAGTCCACTCAGGTTCCTTCACACCTGGTCTTCCATGAAGCAGGCCTCTCAAAGCACCCGCCATTGGGCACAGGCTCTTCCCTGACTTCCCCATCTTTAACATCACCCAAGCACCCCTGAATCGTGGTAGCTCAGCGTCTGGGGGCCATCCTCACCGTTCCCCACATCCACAGCCTCTCACTCACACTTGGAGCTACTTTCTCATCTTAGTTAGCTGTCACCCCAGGTTCCTGGCCCTGGCCGTGCCTGCATGGTCCCGCAACCCCGTCTCCACCCTTCAGCTTCTCACCCTTTCCCATACGGCTATACCAAGGTGCAGCGGCTCATATTGTCAATGTGACGGGGCCTAGGTCACCTTCTGGGCTGGGCGTGCCTCTAGAGTTTCTAGATGAGGGCTAACTGAGCAGGGATGACCCAGCTGAGGGTGAGCAGCACCATCCCTGGGTTAGGGTCCCAGAGAGGATAACAGTGGGAAGTCAACTGAGCCAGCCTTCATGCCTCCCTGCTTCACTTCCTGCTACTGGGCCATCCCATCATGACGGACTGGACCCCAAACTGCTCTGGTGGACCAAAGTCAATCTCCCCTCCCCTGAGCTGTCTTTGTCAAGCATTTTGTCACAGCAGTGGGGGAAATCAACGAACAACCGGGGGTTGAGTGTTTTGACATTCTGAGGCCTTCGATGACTCCCTAGCGACAGAGGGATGGGAATTAACTCTGCCCATAGCCCCGCCCTCACTCCAGCCTCACAGTCTTCTCCGTTCTCAGGCTCAGCTTTCCCAGTCATGGAGGCTTCTCCCTGGACTGCCTTGTGTCCCCCCATCATTTGTTCTGCAGAGCTGACACTGAGGCCACCCTGGGCTTTTTTTTTTTTCTGGTGTACATTGATGTATTTATCGAGAGCCACTGGATTCATGTCCTCCACACCACAGGTTTGGGGTTGGAACTTATTGTCTCTTCTCATTTCCCAGTGAGGATTAGGTGATGTGGGGACCTGTGGGGTGGTCTGTGGAGGCAGAATGGAGCTGTCAGCAAGGCCCCCAATGCAGGCAGGGGCTGGGTGCTGCTCAGTGCTGCTCACCCCTTCTCATCCGGGTCACACCAGGCACCTTACCAACTCTGCGGCTCTCAGAAGGATGGGGCCTGGTCCCTCGGCCTCCCCCGGGTTCTGGGCCCGCTTGCAGCCTTACCTGCCGCCCACAGAGAAGTCAGACACAGCGTAGTAGTAAGACTGGAGCACCCTGGGGTCCTTGAAGATGTCATCTCCAAATGTGTTGAGCCGATCCAGAGAGATCAGGATCTCAGTGCTGGTGACCCACTCCTGGGGAAGGGGACAGGGACACCATCAGCAAGCGCTCCTGGCCTGCTCCGCTGGGAAATCCTGCTCCCAGGAAGTGGAGGTGATCCTGGGGCATAGGGACAGGTCCCGCTGAGACAAATCCTGAGGGGAGGCCAGGAATCAGGAGGCCTGGGTCAGTCTTGGGGCTGTCTGGCTCTGGTGAGAAGCCCCAATGCCTTGGTGCCTCTGACCCCATCTGTAAAATGCAGCAGGTTAGAGGCTCCCTGAGGTGTAAAGAGGAGGGTGGCAATGTCAACCATGTGGTTTGGGGCCTGGCATCTGCACAAAAGTGGTATGCACGTGTGTATGTGTGTGTGCACGTGCAAGCATGTGTGTGTGTGTGTGTGTGTGTGTGTGTGTGTACAGCGGCTGAGGCAGCCCACCTGAGACCCTTGTATACAGGCTGCCTACCTTCTCCCTGTAATTCCTCATATGCAGAGAACTGACACCCCAGAACATGAGCCCCACAAGTCAGAGCCCCTGGGCTCCGCCTGGCGCATAGCAGACTCTTGATAAATACTTGCTGATGACGGGCTGGATGAGCAGCTTCCCCGTGGAAGCGCGTGGTGAGGAAGTGGGGGATGCACGTGGAGAGTGACATTTCCATCCGCCTGCTGTTATAATCAGAGGCGGCTCCGGCTGAATATTAATCAACATTTTAATTCAGCCCAGGAGCCCCTGGCTTAGCAATCAGGCCGTCAGGATGGAAAATGAGCTCCTGGCACAGTTGCTCCTCACCCCAGCAGGACTCAGTCCTGAGAAGCCTGTACAGCACTGAGGCTGCGGGTCCCTGTCACTCTCCAAGTCACCTGCGGCTGGGATTTGCAAAGGTCACTGTGCTTTCAGGGGTCTGTTGAAGGCAGGTCTGGCTGTGAGGTCGGGGCGAGGCTGAAGTCCACCTTTCCCTCCCCTCCCTCCTTTCTTCTTCTCCCTCCCACTTTTATTCTTCTTCTGTTGGGGTTGCATTCATCCCAGACTGGCCTTACATGTAGCCCAAGATGGCCAGAACTCCATTTCCTAAGAGCTAGGATTAAACAGGTATGCACCACCATTCCCAGATTATATGCGGCTGGGGAGGGACCCCAGGGCTTCCATCATACTAGGCAAATGCTCTCCCCACTGAGCTGTGCAGACAGGGATCCCTGCGTTTCTTCTTGTTTATGGTGTTGGTGTCAAATTTAGGGCCCTGGGCGTGTTGGGCAAGCATGCAATCTCCAAGCCACATTGTAGCCTGGGCTCTGTGTTCTCAGAAAGACCCCTGGGAGATGCTGAGGCCTCTGAGGACCAGGGAGCCAAGGCCTGGGCAGGGACACAAAATGAATCACCAGTGGAAGTCCCATGACTATGCCACCGAGTAGAACACGTTATCCCTGGGGCAGCCTCACACGGTTGGGGCAAACAGGCGGGCTGCAGGTGGGTCTGCCACTCGTGACTGCCCTGCTCCAGCCTATCAGGTGCTGAGATCCCAAGAATAAGAATAAGTTGCCACACTGGCTCTCTTCCATTAAAATATAAATATATAAATAAATAGCAGGGGGCAGTGAGGACTCACACCTTGAATCCCAGCATTCAGGAGGCAGAGGCAGGCCAATCTCTGAGTTCAAGGCCAGCCTGGTCTACAGAGTGAGTTCAGGACAATCATGGCTACATAGAGAAACCCTGCCTCAAAAAACAAGACAAAACAAAATAAAAAGTAAAAAAGTGGAACTGAGAACCAGGCACCCAGAAAAGGGTTGTAGGGTTTGAGGTCTGACAGCCAGGAGGTCCCAAGGGCTTCTCAGATCCTAGTTCTTCTGGCTGGCCTGCTGTCTCCCATCCTAGGCCTGCCCATCGCCCCATGATTCCCCAGGCCCTGTTGCCCACTGACCTGCAGCACAGGGCTCTCCTCAAAGTTGTAGGCACTGGGACGGCCTTCCAGGGTGGAGAAGGCAATGTTGCCCCCATTCAAGGGGGAGATGTCGCTGAACTCAGAGGTGCAGAAGGCCACCCTCTCATCCTCACCCGGCCACAGGGAGTGACCCTCAGGACGGCCATAGGTTTTCTGGCAGGAGGCACTATAGTATTGGTAGGGCTCCCAGGGTCCACTGGTGTGCGTGCGCTTGTAGATAGCAAAGCTCTCGGGCCGACTGGTATGGAACCTCAGTCTCACGTAGGTGATCTCGTAGGCCTTCCCTGCAACCAGGCAGATGCAGACCCTCTTATAGAAGGGAATGGGTGCACAGCCCTGGAATGAGGGGGGGGGGGGGCGGGCGGGGAGCAGAAACTCCCTGGAGCTGTGGGCAGGAGCGCCACCATCGATTGTTGATGCAATCAGCGGAACATGGGGAGGGCTACTTGTCCGTTTTTTATCCACCTCCATTCACCTCACCCCTTTGAATGAGAATCTGAGCCATTATACCCTGACCAGCAGTGTAGAATGCTTTTGCTCGATAAGTAAATTAAATACTTAGTTAATTAATGAATTAATTAAAATAAAGACTAGCACTAAGTATCATGGATGGTGTGTGGTAAGTGAGGCCCCCATAACTGGTGGTACGGATGGAATGGCACTTTGGGAAGCAAGCTGGTGTCAGGCCAGCATGCTGAACAGGGTTGGTATATAACCCAAGAATTCCAGTCACAAAAGCAGCCGTGTGACCCACGAAGACTCAGATGTGCATGTCCATGGCAGCTCAAGGACGGCCCAGATGCCCACCGACTAGGCAACAAGGAGCGACGTCTCAATGCGCCACCCAGTCATGGCCGCAGAGAGGTGATGCCAAAGCCGCTAGAACAGAAGAACCTGCTAGTTGACCTCACTTACGCTGAGCGCCCAGAAACAGCCAAGCCGCAGACAGGAAACAGGTTAGCAGTGTTTGCATGTCAGGGTGAAACTGTGGAATAGTGAAATGATTGCTAAGGGGAGCTGGATTTCGGGGTGGGGCCTGGAGGAAACATGGTGCGCACGTGAACCTGTTCACTTTTCCTTTCAAGGGATGGGAGGCAAAGCCAGCCCTTCCCATCAGCTAAGCAAGCTCGGTACCGCTGAGCTGCGCCCTTCGCATTCACGTGCACACGCGTACACGCACATGCACACACCACACACAATACCACACACACTGTACATGCACATGCAAACACTACACACACCACACATACACACACACCACACGCACACAACACACACAACACACACACCACATATGCATACCACACATACCGCACACCACATACACCACATGCAC